TTTCATATATTAACTTACGTATTTGCATTTCACTTGAACAACTTCTTAAATAAAAAACTGACTATAAAGGTAGGCAATTTAGGCAATTGTTATAGCGATTGTTAATTTTTTTTCACTTTAAATGCATTGGGTTCTATTTGGAAAATGAAAAGATATTTCATTTTCAAAATGGCTTCAACCAACTCTTTAGCTTATTTAGTTTCTAAGATATACGTGTTTTAATATTTTCAATGCATCGGCTTTTATGAATTTTCATGTTTTTATTAAATATTTTTTTTAAGTGTCTCCTTAAATTTTTGACACCAAAAATTAAAAAAAAAAATCTATATGCTTATGTTGCGTAAAAAGATGCGCTGACAAAGTTATAATAAAATTTTATAGAAATCGATTCGTAATTATTTCATTACGAATCGATTTCTATAATATTAATTTCTATAAAATTATTTATGAATTGTTCAAATTAATTCATTAATTTAAAAATTAATGAATTAATTTGAACAATTCATAAATACAATTGTTTTCGTGGTTAACGAGCAGGGACCATTAAGTGGTCATTAAACAGTAAAATATGTTTAAATTTTTTAAATTAATAATATTTTATACGCAACACAACTCAGAGAAAAAATAATAATTTGAATTAGCTTATATTCAAACTTTCTTTAATAAATACTCAAATGAAAAACGTGGATCGAAAAAAAACACGTCAAAATACGCGGAAAATAAAGGTAAATCATAAATTTTTACCCAAGTAAAAAATTTTTTTAGTCAGCGATTTATTCATTAATTAAGTAACATCTATATTATAATACAATGTAGTTATAATAATAAAACACAGATAATAGGTTATAATATATAATAGGTTTCAAAAGAAATTTAAATTTAAATAATCAGTCTACTGTTTAGACTAATTTATTATTTTCCCTACCAATGATAATATTCAAATGAATGAAAAACTTGATGAAAGGGTTAATTAAATTGTTTTCTTAATTAAGAGATATAATCAAAGGAATATATTTATATATTATTTTTTTTTTATAGTTTCAAAAACTTTATCGCTTTGTCTTTAAAAAAATTATTGTACTATTAACGTTCCCAAAATTGTCGAAAACCCAGAAACTAGCAATTGCTGTCCCGGAATCCCGAAATCTTAGGATCCTAACCTTTTTTTATTATCCCGAAAACCCGGAATTGTCTAATATCAATCCCGGGGTTCCCTATAAGATTGAACAAAACAATGTGTAATGAAAAAGTATATAAAAATAACAACAATTTATGCATCTAAATACAATGATTTAAAAATAGTATAAAATTGCATATAATAAATGTATTTTCAGTTGTACAATAAAAAAGTTATCGAAATGCTTTTGTTTAAAGAAAAAAAAAAAAAAAAAGTTAAAATCTTCGCAATATATCATTTCTGTTCTGTTCTGTTAATCTGCAAAATAATTTTTTTTCCATACTGAAAAAAAAAGCGCGCTTCTTATAAGGTAGACTCTTAAACTAAAAATTAAGTAAGCAAGACGTATTTCGATTTTACAATTAAAAGAAACTCAGCTATTTAGAAATTTTTTCTACGAGATGAGAAAAACCAGAAAGCAATGTGTAAATTGCCAAACTGCAAAACGAAAATTGGTGGTGGTTCAACAATAACTTCATATGCAATTTTTGCCGGTGCATAATGCGAAGGGCAATAGTCTAAACTAACCTTATATTACCGAAAAAAGCACATCAGATAAACCACCGAAATAGAAACCTAAACCACTAACAGATTACTTTTGCACTTATGAAAATGAAGATTGAACAGTTCATGCTACACTTCTTTGCCTAACGGCGTTTGACGAGTATTTATTTTAGTATGATTTTTTTTTCAACAGATTCCACTCTAACTGCTGCGGGATTTAGAAATCTACCAACGTCAGTAAACACAATTCGTAATCAGGTAGTAAAATACAGCAAAAAACGTATTTATTTTAGTATGATTTTTTTTCAACAGATACCACTCTAACTGCTGCGGGATTCAGAAATCTACCAACGTCAGTAAACACAATTCGTAATCAGGTAGTAAAATACAGCGAAAAAATAAGATTAGGTTTAGTTCATCAGATCAAAGCACGCAAGTAAACGGTATTCGGAGAAAGAAAGAGATTTTCTTTGTCTTTTGACAAATAGACGTCACTTAGAAATCGTCTCTATACAAGTATTAACGCTCATGGACATAATTATCACTTCTGGAGTTGAAGTTTAGAGTGAATAGCAGGTTTCATGCCAGCAGAAAAGCGAATTGAGCTATTAAAAAAACAAGAGCATTACCTTGAGAGACACCTCAACATTGTGGCTAAAATGACCAACGAAGCTAGTGTTATGAAAAAGGTTGGAAGGTTCCTAGCTGCTAATCAACTATTATGTTTTGCCAAGGGCACACAACTTGCTGTAATTTATGCTATTTTTAAAAAGAGAGAATTCGATGCAAATCAGCCAGATTTTAGAAATGAATTTTCTGACAGTGATTCATTCGAGCATGAGAAAATTGAGAAAGATTTATTGGGCTACAATCATGAAAATGTAAGAGCTAAAATTAAATTTTAGTATTTTATGGTTTGTTTGCATGAACACCGAACTGATATGAGTACACTTCTGCAATACCTGTCTAACAATCAAAGCTCCGTTGAAGTCGATGAAGAAATACTTACAGTGCTTTTGTTGTTTAAATGTCGAAAACCTATGATAGAATTTCTGGAAAGATTAAACACTTATAATCCTACTTTTGTAAGAGCGTCAGTTGAGTCTAATGTGCTGATTTTGATTGAGGAACCTGAAATGGTTCCTGAGTCTGTACATAATCTTTTAAGTATTGAAGTGGAACTTGATCGTATATTAAGGAAGGACAACCACCAATGTAACCAGTTAGACGTGAGACACTGTAATCAAAAATTCAATCAAAATCAATCAAAAATTCAATCAAAATTCAATCAAAAATTCAATCAAAAAATATAAAATATCTTAAAAAAAAAACTTATAAAAATGAAATAACTTACAAAAATTATAAAAATATATTTGAAAAAACCAAAAAATACTCAAAAAAACTATTTTATGATCAATTATTAAAGAAAACCAACGGAAACACTAAAAAAATATGGAATTTAATTAAGGATTTAATTGGAAAAAATAATTATAACAAAAGCACTCTGCCAAAAAATCTTTTAATTAATGGAGAATTAGTTTATGAAAAATCAATTATAGCTGAAGAACTAAACAACTACTTTGTTAATATTGGCCCGAATTTGGCTGCTAAAATTTCTACTAATTCCATTCCATTTGATTCATACTTAAAAACTTATGATAAACTTATGGATGAAACTGATTTAAAACTGAGTGAGTTGAGAACTGCATTTAGCAGTCTCAAAAGTAAAAAAAGTGAAGGTTTTGATAAAATTAGTGTTGATGTTGTCAAATCAGTATTTGAAGTCATTGAACCTTCTTTATTTCACATTTTCAATCTCTCATTAAAGTCAGGTATTGTTCCTAATAAATTAAAAATTGCCCGTATAACACCAATTTTTAAATCTGGAGATAAGTCAAATATTTTAAATTACAGGCCTATATCAATCTTACCTTGTTTTTCAAAATTGCTAGAGAGAATAATGTATAACAGACTTTATAATCATCTAACTGAGAACGACATGTTGTATTGTAAACAATTTGGTTTTAAAAAAAAAAATTCCACTGAACACGCAGTAGTTGAACTTTCCAATCAAATATCTAATGCCTTAGATAATGACTGTTTTACATTAGGAGTTTTCATTGATCTGTCAAAAGCTTTTGATACCGTAAATCACTATATACTAATAAAAAAACTCGAAAACTACGGTGTAAAAAATAAAAACTTACTTTGGTTCAAAGATTATCTGACTAACAGAAAGCAATTTTTATACTATAATAAAAATAATACAATTCCACACTCCATAACTTGCGGGGTTCCTCAGGGTTCTATTTTAGGACCACTTTTATTTATATTGTACATAAACGACTTATACCTATCAACAAATCTTTTAGACCTAATTTTGTTTGCTGATGATTCAAATCTTTTTTGTTCTCACCGAGATATTAAATCACTTTTTAAAATAGTTAACGAACAGTTATGTAATGTTAGTGCATGGTTCGTAAGTAATAAACTTTCACTAAATGCGGAAAAAACAAAATATATGCTTTTCCATAAAGTAAATAAATCAGAAAATATTCCTCTTAAATTACCAGATCTTAATATTAATAAAACTTATATTAAAAGGGAATCTTACATAAACTTTTTAGGAGTAAAATTGGATGAAAATTTAAAATGGTGTTCACATATAAATAGCATTGAAAAAATAATCTCAAAAAATATTGCAATGATGTTTAGGGCTAAACCCTTTCTAAATATATCATCTCTGAAAAAATTATATTTCGCCTTTATTCACAGTTATTTGTCTTATTGTAATGTTGTGTGGGCTAGTACTAGTCATACAAAACTAAAGAAACTCTACAATAAACAAAAACATGCATGTAGAATAGTATTTGGAGCCGACAGAAATGTTCCTTGCGAACCACTTCTCAGTGTGCTCGGTGCTTTAAATGTATATAAACTTAATTTACACCAAGTTTTATTGTTTATGTTTAAAACAAAAAAGGATTTGTCTCCTAAAATATTTCAATCTTATTTTAATAAAATTAACCATAGGTACTCAACAAAGTTTTCAGAAAACAATTTTGTTGTTCCAAAACATAAATTAAAATTAACTTCCTATTCAATTAAATACCGCGGACCTTATCTGTGGAAGAAATTTCCAGATATTGTTAACAAAAAGCAGACTACATTAGAGCAATTTAAGGATGAATCAAAACGATTATTATTGTTCATGGATCTCAATAAATCCGACTTTAAATGTTTATTTTAAAGTAAACACAATAAAAAAAAATAAAAAAAAATAGATTCAATAATATCAATGATATATGATAATATGAAT